GATCATATCCTCTGAACTAAAGGAAGCTGATAATAAGCAGTGATTGTTCCCGAATTTATAAATTGAAGCATTTGTCAGCAAAGAGGAAAACAATCAAAATGACCATTTTATGAGTCTTCTGATGCAAAATTGTATCATCCGCTCAGAACGCATTTGTTGAGAAGCGCAGTTGGACTGGCAAAAAGATAAACGAATAAAAATTACGGTTTTCAGAACGGCTTATCACAATTTATTTAACTGATAGTATCGCTGAATATACCTACTAGTTTTTTTTTTTTTTTAAAGAAAAATGTCACAATATCGATTATTGGCTGAGAAGCGTGATGTTGTTTGAGATGTTTCATATGTGTCCATAACAATAGCTAAGATATACATTTATTTAAATAATCACTATTAATAAAAATGGAATTGATATAAATTCAACTCGTTGATTTCGAAAGCAGTACAATAGCTTTAAATTTTAGTGATAATATCACTAACTTAAATATCATTGACTGGTAAAAAAAAATACATTAATTTAAAAAAATTTAATAATGTAATGCCTTTAACAATTTGAAATAAAATTCGTCCACTTTGCACTAATAAAATATTTTAAGAATCAATATTCTTCATATCTACTGATAACTATTATCAGTAGAACTTTACTAGGAAATTCATTATCCTGCTCTACAAATTTTGAAGGTACCATTAAAATATAGGCTTTCAAATAAAATTTTAAGAGGGATATTACGACAATTTCTATAAAATGTATAAAAAAATTTAATTTTTAATTAATTGACCACTGCTTCTATATTCATATGTTTCCTGGTTGTCGGTGAATTGTTGCGAGAGCAACCATCACGGATTGTAGATAAATTCGAAGCTATAATTGAAATAATATAAGAAGCTATCATGACCTTTTGTCGAATCCATTAGTTCATTCCAATAAACGTTTGATTCAGCGTAGCAACGAGAATAGATTGAAGAGGAAGAACGAACCGGCCAAGAACATGCGGCAAATTTGCAATAATAGCTCCATATTCATTTACATTATCATAGATTTCAAAAAGCGGAGCTGCGATCAATAAACTATTCTTCGGAATTGTAAATACTGCACTCTTAGGAAGATTAACGGCGATCAGTTTTATCATCTCTTTTGGTTTCGTGATATGTGAAGGAATATAAGGATACTAAACAGGAGCCTTTAAAGTTATTATATAGATTGAATCACATAAGCATTTCCTCAAAAACAGAAGTGTGGTGGTTGAAATGAAATGAATCGAAAAATTGACTGCGCTTAAAATACTGACTACTGAACTGTAAATGATGATACGATAGGATTCATAACGGTAAATTTCATTTTATACTTCATTCACTGCCTTTCTAAGAAATCAGAATCTCGGAAGGTAACTTACAATTTCTTTTTCAAAGTTGGGACGCCACCACTTTGCAACAACATGCCGTACTTTGCAAATTGCTTCTGCGCTTTCCTCTGTAAGTCCCATAACCTGAAAAGTGGACAATATGTGAACTCAGTGGGACATTTGTCCTTGTCTACTTGAGCTGAAATAACAAAAACTTCACTGCACCTGAACCAATAATCGTTTCATTCCGTCAATTTCATCTTCATCGGGATAGAGCGATACCGTTGGCCTGTAAGTTAATACAGTATATATGCTTTTTAGTTGGTAGCAAATAAATTTAAAGTTTTTGTCGCTGTAGAAAAGAAGCAAAACATACAATTTCGACCAGTTTTGCGCTTCATCAGCTCCATTTTTTAAGATCAATACATAAACAGTGGAATTTTTGTGACCCAATAGAACAGCCTTTATCGTACGAACCATCCCATAATTTTTATAAGCATTTTGTAATTGCAAACACTGTCTGATGCCGAAGAATGGTAGACGATCAATGTTATCATTGTTTTGTACGGAGTAATTTATTAAAGGATACCTAAAAAGATATATATAATGGTTATGCTCGCTTAAGAAAAGAGAGCAATTTTTTCTTTTTAACTTTTAGCGAAGGACCAATACTAACTATAATTCTAAATAATAAATTAATCGAGTTTATCTCGTTAACTTACAGGCCAATAATGCTGTTCACGTTTCGTCGTTCATCATTATACACAACATATGTTCGCAAGTCGTCCCCATCAGATATCGTTGAGAGTTCGTTCGTCGCACTAACTGAAGCCATTGTAAAATAATCCTAGAAAGCAATAGCAGTCAAAGATACCCCAGGCAACCAACCAGTCGATTGTTTAAATGACAATTATGGAGAAGAAATGCTTTTATACTTAAATAATTCAGAATAATACCCGAAGTAATTTGCATAAACTTTTCCATGTTATCCTCTTTTTTGGACACGCCTGTTTTGTATTCTACATTTATTACTAGCTAATTGCAAACTTCAAAAAGCAAGAAGTGCTAACAGCAGTACGGTTTGGAGTGATATACAAAGTAGCCGTGTCAGCACTGAGTACAAATTCGAATAACCAATAAAAGTAGTTGTAAGTTGTAAAATCTTTCACAATACTTTCACCATCATCCCAGTACAGCATGCCAGTTGATTTGCCCGGACCTGAAGTGTGATATCGATCATGCAAAAACAAAGTTTCAATTCTAATTAGCACGA